CGAAATGAGGCCTCCTTTCTGCGGAACACAGGTGGGTTGGTTTTCTGCTTCTGCATCTGCCTGCCAACTGCTCAACCAAATCACAAGCAGCACTCCCCACTGCTGAGTGGCCTTTAATACTCGGATATTCAAATTCCTAACTCCAGGCTAGACTTGGCCTATGAAAAAACATATAAATATATAAAGTATATATATGCATATATAAAACTAGGCATTAAACACTTCTACCTGGATGTTGACAAGCATCGCAGACTTCACCCCTACACACGGACTCCCAGTCCTGCTTGGCCCTCTGCACCCACAACTCTCCAGTCTAGACTGGCTCAGCTGACGGTAACATGATGCTTCCATCATCTTTGAAGTTAACTGCTCCTCCTTTCCTTCTCTCTGTTCTTATACCCAGCTTGTAAGGAGACCCCCTGAGCTCTGTCTTCAGAACAGCCCCAGAATCTGGCACGAGCATCCCTCCTTTGCCATTACTGGGGTCCTCACACTATGTCTTAGCTACGCCAGTGTCTACTTCTGCTCTGCTTCTCCCCTTGGCCTCTTTCGATCTATGTCCGTGTACACAGTCATCAAAACAATCGCTTGTGAAACCCTTCAGTGGCCTTTCTGTTTATTCTATGAAAAGGTCAAGTGTCTAGCGGGGTCAGCATCTGGCCTCATCTCCTCTCTGACACAGAATGTGGCACCCTTCCTCATTCTGATACTGTGTCGGGCATCTGGGACGGCTTCAGTCGCTAGGCCTTTCCTTGTTACTCTTCTGCCTCACTAACTCACCTGCTCACTCTCCAGCTGTCAACATGGCCGACCCTTCATCTCCCACCTCTCTGTCCTCAGAAGCTACCCTTGCAAACAAGTCTTCCTTGACTTTCCTGTCTAAGACCTCAATACCTGTGACATGACATTCCATAGCCCCCTCTTCTGTTTTGTTTTCCCCAAAAGCATCTAACGATGCCTTTGATATCTACCAATTTCCTTCCTTTTAGAATCTAAGTGAGGTTCACCCAGCACCCGGAACAGTCCTTCTGTGTGCACAGTAGGACTTGGACAGCTGTTTGTTTAATGAATGGATAAACCCACGAGGAAATGGTCCAAGGACGCTGATTGCTTGAGCCTTCACACAAGAGGGCACAGAGGTTCAAACGATACTTCAGCCAATGGCTTCTCTGCCTGGAAAATTTGCCTTGATGGTTTTCCAGGCTGGAGCTGGTGACTTGGGGAGGGGGAGGGGTTGGCTCTGTGCTCAGGATAGGTGTTCAATTTAGAGCCTGTCCTGAAGGGCTTTTAATCGCAGGCAATCGTGAGTCAGGGCGATGAAGGGCTGGACGGCAGCTGAAGAGAAGAGCTGAGCTGGGCCTCAACTAGAGAGGACGGGAAGGACAGGGTTGCAGTTTGCTTTGGAAACTTTCTTAGTTCAAAGAGGTGTGGCAAGTGTGAGCAAGAGTGAGGACAGGATAGAAATTCAAATTTAATGATGGGATTATATGAAGTTAAAGATTTCTAGGGAGCAAATCTAAAGCTTTTTCTTAGAAGACTCGAATACAGTTAATTCCTAGTGGTTACTCTTTAGTGTGGTGCTTACTTATTTGCCACTTCATTCGGATTCTGCGATGTCATCCACTGAGCTAAGTGTGAGCCTACAAGGAGTCTTCAGTGTGCACACAGCAAGCAGCAAGAAGCTGCAGTCTAGTGCATGGGGTCACGGACACATGTTCTGAATAGAGAGGAAAGGCTCTCCAAGGCAGGCTTTGGGACACTTGTGGATCTGCAAAGGAAAATGCCACTGGGGCTTGCTTATAGGTCCCACTATGTGGTAGTCTGAACGAGAAGGGTCTCCATAGGCTCATGTATATGAATGCTTAGTCACCAGGGAGAGGCATGATTTGAAAAGATTAGAAGGATTAGGGGGTGTGGCCTTGTTAGAAGTGTGTCACTGGGGTGGGCTTTGAGGTTTCAGAAACTCATGCCAGGCCCAGAGTCTCTCTCTCTGCCATTGATCATGATACAGCTCTCGGCTACTGCTCCAGTACTGATACAGTACTCGGCTACTGCCTGCATGCATGCCAGCATGCTCCCTGCCAACATGGGAATGGACTAAACTTCTGAAACTTGAAGCAAGCCCCCATATAAATGGTTTCTTTCATTAAGAGCTGCCGTGGTCATGGTGCCTCTTCACAGCAATAGCACAATGATTAAGACACACTAGAGAGATACTGAAGAGCTGTGTTACTAGTAATATAAACTCATGTTAAGCAAGGGAAAATGCTTGTATCTACTTATAACTGAAGATTCCAGGAACACAAACAAGGAGAAGGTTTTAGTAGTTTAAGTCTGAGACGTCGCCCAAGGCACAACTGAAGTTGTGGTTTCCAATGCAGCAATGTTTGGAGGTAACTGGATCATGGAGGGATCTAAGCTCACTGCTGAACGAATCCACGATGAATGGATACTCATCTGAAGGACCATTGTGAGAGGTGGGAACTACAGAAGGCAGGACTGAGTGGGAGGAAGGATGTATACTGCTTGGCTCTTTATCTACTCTCTCTGCTTCATAGCCATTATCAGGTGACCAACTCTGCTCTTCGGCACCCTTCTGCCATGGTGCTCTGTGTCACCCCAGGCCTAGAAACTACAGAACTAGGTGATTATGGGCTGATACAGTGAACCAAAAGAATTTTTCTGCCTTTAAACTGCTCTTTTCAGTGACAGAAAGCTGAGAAACCCATGAATGTAGATGATACAGGGACTAGAGAAACAAAAGTCACTTTATGGGGGCCAGAAGCAACAAGACCAATACACAGTCAAGACACTCTTTACTAACACAATCAAAAAGTCAAGTAGACTTTTATTGGATGTCCATGTGGCGGCAGTCAGCGTCCTCTTACTTTGAACAGATTGAGCAATGCCCTAGAAAGCAGCATTTGTCTCAAGGGTTTGATTGGAGAAGAAACTTCTGGTTTTGGAACATTATTTATAGCTTGATCTTCTTTACATTTTACTGGATATGTATTATAATTTGATAAATAATTTAAGGGCTTCAGAATGTTAGAGATTCTTAAAAGTAAGAACCTGGCTCAGAGAGGTTAAGCAGGATTTAAGTTATGATTGGAAACAGGTTGGGGCTTAGGGTATTCTAGGAAGCATGAGGCGGGGCTAACCTATCATTGAGAAAAGACTCAAGACATAAAGTAAGATTTTCATTTGTGTGTACATTTTAATACCTAATGTTTGGAAATGAGTAATGCACACACAAACTGTCTCTCAAACAGAAAACACTAATAAATACACACCGAGCACCACTTCCTGAGACTACTCTGAATTACTGGAAGTTCTGTCAATAGTTCCAGAGAATTCTAGAGTTGGAGTAAAGAGGGAAGGTGTTCTTACTCCCATATGGAGAAGAAAGAAAGACTTACATCTGACAAATGGCCTGCTACAGGATGGGCTGGATCGGAAGCTTCGACATTTATGATCTCGGCTAATCCTAGCGGCAACTCCCTGACTGCTACGCCTCCATTCAGCTCAGCAGGGAAATGTCCACCCTGCTCAGGGACACTCCACAGCTGCCATTGCTCTGTCTTCTCTTGCTACCTGCTGCCTAACAGTTTGCTCCCTGACTTGACCCTAGTTACTCCATCTTTGAATGGTTTATTCTTGTGCAAGAAATGAGAATGGAGAAGCCTATGGTGACTATGAAAGGATACCTATGTGAAGATATTTCAAACTTAGGGGGTTCACTGGCTGGCCATTCTGCTCTGTGCAGGCAGTCACAAACACTGTCTAGCAAGGGACTGGACTCTTGGGTCTCTTCCATCCCACACGTTGTTTCTCGTGCTGTGGACTGAACGTGCTAGGCAAGTGCTCCAACACTGAGCTGCACCTCTACCCCTTTCTGCCTGTTTCTTCCCTGTTAGATTCGGAGGAGGTGCTCACTCCACCACTCCCTACTGTTTAACATACAACCATCGACCCATTAACATTGTTCTGTGTTTCTGAAGGCTCTAGGCTTGGGAGCCTGGAACTGAGTGGTAGTTCTCATCTTTAACTCCTGATTTAGGTCTTAGATGTCTCGTGAGACTGCTGGGAAGCGGAGGAGGTGACGCTGGACCTCGTTCATGAGGGCGAGGACATGACCTGTGTCTCTGTGGGCCGCGCAGTACCCAGCTTACAAACAGCTGTTCATGACTCTGAGTTGTACACCGTGCTGATGGTACACAGAGAATACCCCGTCCCACACGCAAAGTTCAAGGGTGCACAGCAGTCTCCCCAGTCTTCCAAAAATATGGGGACTCAGAACGATTGAGGAATCATAAACAATTTGAAGAGTGATCAATTTTACGGTCTACCATTGTGAAGCCCATCTTCTGGGTCCCCTGCCTCTCAACCACTGTCATCTTTACACACAGTAAGCCAGGCTATTCATGTCCCCAAAGTACCAAAATGACTGTCTTTACCAAAGCAGTTAGGAAACCTGAGTAGGGGATATTTTCAATACTGATGAGAAAAACAAATCGACACTTCTTAGAATCTCATTGCATTAGTGGTGAGACATGCGGGTGGCTTTGTTTTTTTAAAATTCCTAAGCAAGGAAGGTCCTGTGAATTCTTTCGCTGTTTTATTCTCAGGGAAAATCTAATGACCCATTTGAAAGACAGAAGACATAGCCATGATTCAAATCCTACACAGAGGACTGCATCAGACTGAGGCTCAACCTTTCAAACCCCAAAGTTTAAGTGAAGTAGAAACTGTGAAGGTCTGGGCCCCAGGTGAGGCTCTTTTCCCTTAAAGAAGCACGCTCACTTTGCATTCATGCCGCTGAGGCTGCAAGTGCATCAAACAGAAGCTGACTATCCTACAAGCCAACATGGGGGTGACGTGAACACCAATGCAAGAATCGTGCGCATGTAACTTCTACCGCCTCCTTTGCCAGTTTTTTTAAAAAAATAAGTCAACAAACCTCCTGTAACAACCACACAAAACACACCAAGTAATCGTACCTCTTCAGGCAAGCTGACCACGAGGTCATCTTTTGTCTGTCCAACCAGGGCTTGCCAGAAGTATTCGCTGCACGCGGCCAGCACGGCCCGGTGGGCTCGGAACTCCTTCCTCTCCACGATCAGAGTCACGTCACAGAGGATGTCCTTTTTCCGTTGGTCATTGAGGCCGAGGAGGATGTTGGCACAGTGGACTGTGGACTCATACACATACATGGGGGAGTCAGGCTTCTCATCCACAGACATGCCGTTCAAACCCTGGAAGAGAGAAAGGCTGAGTCAGTGTCCCGTAAGAGACAGAGAAGGTAAGGAGGACCATCATTGCTCCTGGGTCCCCCAGTCAGCAGCCTGGCAGAGGGGAGAGGGCTGCTAAGTAGCACAGCCATTCTGGGTTGGCATAACAAAGTCAGAAACGTCTGAAGGCTGCAACCTATTGCTTCCCTTCCATTCAACTACATTTCTTTACCCTGCATCTTTTAATGGAACACCGTAACACTGGGTAGTTTCGATTTCATTAGGAGGCTAAAATGGATTTGTGTGTAAAGTCTAATTACTAACTGAGATTTGTGTTAAAAGGGAACACGTCATTTTGAAGTCTTTGAGATGCTGTTTTGGTGAAATACATGCAAGTTCCTAAGTCGAAATTTGGCAAAGATGCTAAGTAGACTACATATTACATCATGAGCTATGATTCAATGGATCAATAACGAGTAGATGTAGGTCTGCTATTTCATCCACCCTTTACCCTTCACACTATGGCGGTCATTCCTGTCTCAGATATGGAACAATGCTTTCATTGTCTCAGAGGGCCCAACGAACATCTTTAAGGAAACAACATTGCAATAGGAACCATGAGAAAAGATACACTCAGAGTAAGAGTTACAAAGACTCCTTTGCTTTCAATAGTAGTCTGGGAGTAATTTTAAAATACACTGTCCACAGCTGAATCAAAGGTTGGGTTTTCAGGAAGGCCTACTACCAGCATAAACCCCAGTAGCAAGTCCTTCTTTCCCTGTCTTTATTTTTGCTTTTGAAAACAGCTTTAGTATATGATGCTTAAATATTTGGAGTATGCAATTGCCATCTGACAGGCGTATGCAACTGGGAAGCAGTCAACACGATCAAGATGAACATACCATCAGTACCCAAAGCCCGCTGCAGCCCTTACACCCATCAGCAGCCCTGCTCCCACTGCTCAGCTTTCTGACGTCTGTTGGCCTCTTCTAGAGTTTTATTTAAATGGAATAATGTGCTACCCTGTCTGAATTATCTTACTCAGAACAATTATTTTGTCATCCATTCATGCTGCTGGATAGAGCCAAGGTTTGTTCCTCCTTCCATTCTGTTGCTGAGAACATAAACTAGTGCAGTCGCTATGGAAACCAGCGTGGAGGTGTGTCAGAAGCTAAAAGTAGGCTACTCATATGATACAGACGTGCAACTCTAAGGCATACACCTACGTGAGTTTAAGCTGACCACAGAGATACCTGCACATCTGTATTTCTTGCAGCGCAGTCGAAATAGCCAGGAAATGGAAAGAAACAGCCTAGATGCCAATATTCATACTAATGAATACAGAAAATGCCATGCACATACGCAACAGAGTTTTATTCAGTCTTAAAGAAGACCTGAGTCATTATTAACAGGAAAATGTGTGGAACTGGAACGTGAAATTAGGTAGACTTGGAAAGACAAATGTTGTGCGTTTTTTCTTACGTGCAAAATCTCGATCTAAACATGAAATTAGAAGGAGTCTTTATTGATTGCTTTTCGGGCTGAGGAGGGGGGACTTAATTGGGGGAGGGAGAGGGAAATGGGAGGCAGTGGCGGGGAAGAGACAGAAATCTTTAATAAATAAATAAATTAAAAAAAAGGAAAAAGAAGGAGTCTATATTAAAAGAGAACAAAAGAAAATAATAGTGGAAGATAAAATAACTCATTTCTTTTATATGCAGAATCTAGAATTAAATACACACTCATACGCCAGCAAGTGGTGGTGGAGGACAGAGGAACAGGTGAAGGTAGTGGGATGATAAATTAGCAAAGTATATGATATATGTCTATGAAAATATCATGTTAGTGAGGAGAGAGATGGGAGGGTAGGGCAGAGGAGGCAGGGATAACTAACACTAAAGATTTTAGAAAAGCCATATGGAAATCTGCCATTTTATAGGCTTCCTAAACATATAAACATGTTTAACTGTAGGTATCCCACACAGGAGACTATACTCCTCCCAAGACTATATTCCTCCCAGAAGCCATAAGATGCCGAATAAAAACCCCATTACCAGGTGTGGGATACCTCCCCTCATGATGCTGACTAGAGGTGCCAGATATTCCTAAAACAATATAGGATTTTGCTATTGGTCTTGCCTGTTCACCAGAACTTATTGTTCACCTTGCCTGTTCACCAAAACCTTTGTCACAGGACATGACAAAATCAAGTTAGCACTGACCAGGAAGTTTTCTTCCAGCTGGTTAGCGCTCATAGTCCTGGAGGTGCTATGGAGGTTGCTGGGAGAAAGTGTCATCAACAGTCTGTGAACGTTGTGAATTACAATAATAACTGGCATGGCATGATACTCCCATGGGTGCAATAGTGGCACAAATATTATTATGGGAGTAACCAATCACTTTGTGATGGAATTTAAGGCTTTTCGTTCAGGAAGAAACAAATGCCTGGTACTGTAAATCTGACCAAGAACCTATGGTTAGGGAACTCCTAGGCCCCAGAGGTGCATCTGCTACTATCACCCTGCAAAATGGATTGCCTTCTAGATTCTTATCTCTACACATAGATTAGTGCAGCTTCCAGACCTCAGCAGAGAAGTTTCTCTGTGCAGTGAATGGTGGCTAAATGCAGAAACTTACAGCTGGTTAAAGCGCAGAGAATAAAAGTCATGGAATGCTCAGAACAAAGGAGACCACTATGTTAAACCCCTCTGAAAGGTTTAGGGACAATGGTGGAAGAGAGACAGAAAGATTCTAAGAGACAGAAGTTGAGAAGAATCAGAGCAAAACAATGTTGGATGTTTAGTGCGTTGGTTACAAGTTGTTATGGATAATGGTGAGGGAAAAAACTAAACAAAGGAGATTAGATTCAGGGTCTAGTTTTGAAGACTTATCTATTTATTATTTATACAGTATTCTGCCTACACATATCTTATAGGCCAGTAGAGGGCATCAGATCTCATTACAGGTGGTTGTGAGCCACTATGTGATTGCTGGGAATTGAACTCAGGACCTCTGGTAGAGCATTCAGTGCTCTTAACCTCTGAGCCATCTCTCCAGCCGCAGGGTCTAGTTTTGAAAAGAAAAAAAGGGAGAAATGCTATGGGATAATGCTTTTGTATACTGTAAAGATTCATCATGCAGTTTAATAAAATGTTGATTGGCCAGTAGCCAGGCAGGAAGTATAGGTGGGGCAACCGGACTAGGAGAATTCTAGGAAGAGGAAAGGCAGAGATGCAGTTGTCATCCAGAAGCAGAGGAAGCAAGATGAGAATGCCTTACTGAGAAAGGTACCAAGCCAAGTGGCTAAACATAGATAAGAATTATGGGTTAATTTAAATTGTAATAGGTAGTAATAAGCCTAAACAATAGGCCAAACAGTTTATAATTAATATGAACCTCTGTGTGTTTATTTGGGACTGAATGGCTGTGGGACCAGGTAGGACAGAAACTTCCGTCTACAAGTGTTCCGGCAGGGCTTGGCAGGACTGATATACTCATGGACTGACAGCAGCAGGGGCTGTACAAGATCTGTACAAGATCAAGCGAAGCAACATTCTAGCACAAGATCAAGCCAATCAACATTCTAGCACAGAAGAAAGGGTTCATGAGCCTCCACCCATAAATGAGTAGCTATGGGCAGTTGATCACTCCTTGGGTAGGGAAAGCCAATCTTCTTTAAGGGTGTGGTTTCTGGTAAGTCCATGGAAGTTCCAGTAGATGGTCACACAGCATGAGTACATGAATGAATGGGCAGCACAAATTGAACTTGATGGGAGGGAGGGAGGGAAGGAGGGACGGAGGGGAAACATGATTTGGGAGGTAGGGAGGTAGAAATGGATCTGGGAGGAGTTAGGGGAAAGAGTAGGAACAAGTATGATAAAAATACACTGTATGAAATGATCAAATAATAAAAATATTCGAAAGTCAATAATAAAGGCAAAATCCATTATTTTGTATGCCAACTAAAACTTAGTAAAATAGGAGAGTTTGTTATGTTATTGCTGAATTGTATTTGCTGCATTTACAAGTCGTAAGCCATCCATAGCTACTGATGGATAACTGGACTGTTTCCAGTTTGAGACTCCTATAACTAAAGCTGCTGGGAACATCAGTGCTTAAGACTTCCTATGGACAGGTACCTGAGTTTCTTCCAGAGCACATACAAATTTAAGGTTTTAGGAAACTGACATTGTTTTCTCACACAGCTGTATCATCTTATGTCTCCCTAGGAGCATATGAGCACTGGCTCTTGACATCCCTGCCAACACTGGGCATCCTTGCAGCTGCACCTGATACCTTCCTGAAACTCACTCTGTAGACCAGGCTGGCCTCGACCTTAGCGATCTGCCTGCCTCTGCCTCCTGAGGGCTGGGATTAAAGTTGTGCACCACCACGTTAAATTTAATTCTTGAAGCTGGGTCTTGCTTTATAGCCCAGGCTAGTTTTCAACACTAGATCCTTCTACCTCTGCCTTATGAGTGTTGGGAATATATGTGACAGACATGAGACACTTTCCATTTCAAATCAGGTTATCTGTTTCTTGCTGTGAACTCTTGAGAGTTCCGACTGCTCTCAACAGTATTTTATGTGACACGTCAATATCTCCCTCCAGTCAGCCATTGCCTGTCTTCTTCTCTTAATATTTATTTTTAAAGTTTTCACTTGATAAAACCCAATTATGTAACTTTTAAGAAATATATTGTACTTCTCTGGTATCAAATCTAAAATAAAGTTTTAATGCTCTATGAATATTAATATACTTTCAAATTTATACCTAAGCCTCCGAATATTATTTTAAAGTGTCAATTTGATTTTTCATTGTTAATATATAAATAATTTTATATTTGATGATGAAGATCAAACTCAGAGCCTCTTGCTAGAATTCTAGGCAAATATTCCAATACTTAGCTACACTGCACATTATACAAGAAACAATTATGTGTAAAGATTTTGTATCCTGAAACCTTGCCTAATATTAGTTCCATGGCCTTTCCTGAAGCTTCTATAGCATTTATGCAGTGAAG